GCGCGCAGGCGGTCCGAGCCGCGCGCGGGCCTGGCGCAGCCCGTACGGGCCGCGCGCGTGCCTGGCGCAGCCCGTACGGGCCGCGCGCGGGCCTGGCGCAGCCCGTACGGGCCGCGCGCGGGCCTGGCGCAGCCCGTACGGGCCGCGCGCGGGCCTGGCGCAGCCCGTACGGGCCGCGCGCAGGCCTGGCGCAGCCCGTACGGGCCGCGTGCCGGGTGTACGGGCCGCGTGCAGGCCACGACGGGCGACGGGGGGCGACGCGCGGGTCCCCGTCGCCCGTCGCAGCGCCTCCCGGGGGCGACGTGCCGAGTGACGGGGCAGGAACCCGTCGCGCGCCTCGGGGCACACGGCGGGCAGAAAACCGCCGCGCGCCTCGGGGCGCACGGCGGGCAGAAAACCGCCGCGCGCCTCGGGGCGCACGGCGGGCTGAAAACCCTAGTTTCGACGCCGCGCACCACGGGGCGCGCGGCGGACAGGGAGTAGCAGTAGCAGCGGAAGCAGTGAAGTGGGCCCACAGGCCAGGAACGTTAAGCTCTGATACCATGTCGTGATAGTAGGTATACTGAGGAGCCATAGCTAGGGTTGACCTAGCTAGGCAAGAGAGAATGAAGGCAAAAGAGAGGACTGAACTAGCAAGAATGGGGATACAAATAGCAAACCCTAGAAGGGTTGTACTCGCTACAGAGCACCCCACTACAGGCTAGAGCATAATATTCTGACAGTCATAATTCTATATCTCATAAGTACTATTCACGTTTGTTAAACGTGTTTCATACGCAGGAATCTGTAGAGGTCAAACTCAGATGGGTTAATGCTGAGACTCAAGCAGGACGTCACCGAGCTGATTTTCATGTGAAAATCGTGGTGATTGGCAGGAAGAATGGTTTCACAAAGGACGATGTGAAATTTGTTCCTGGAAAGTTCTATGTTTTTTATGAGGATTTCACTGTGACAGAGGTGGTGATCTGGCCACAATCCAGGGGGTCTGGTCGATGTGATGTGGATGCTGTGAAAGATTTCTTGATGAGGCTTTCTATTGGGAAAGTCTATGAAGTCCATCGCACCGTCGGTGCTCGCGCACCCCCCACCTGGTAAGCTTTGTCTGGACTTGTCTATGTGATTCGACACGTGTTGGTTTTACAACTTATGCACTGAATACGTACAGGATTCTGGTTGGAGGTCTTCGCACGCAACTCAACTGGAAGCATCGGTGCTCACATCTGATCGAGGCCAGCGGGTCTCCTCGGCTGAACGTGGGAAACTTGCCTACTCCCACGCTTTTGAGCTTCTATGGTGCTGAGGATAAGTCTAGGGTAAGAATTACGACGACATTTGTTACGTCTTTTTACGTATGATTGTCAAATTGTAGTTGTCATTTACTTTTATAATTTGTGATTCACATTTTTGCCCCTATTCTATCCCAATTCATTCATGCCACACATTGTACGTCTCTCATGGTACGTCTCTCTGCATGTGTTCTATGTATTCATTTCTGTTGTATCATTCATCTCCGTTATTTCCAGATCCCTTGCATTTCTGTCAGGCTCAAGATCTCGTCTTTCGAGCCGAACCGCGCGCTCCCTAAGTTCACGGCTGGCATCCATGACTCAACGATGAAGAGCGCTTTGATAGCGCTCGGGGATGCCGCCATCAGGTTCAACTCCAGCTGTGAGAGTTATTTTGCAGATCACCCCGATGCTAGCGATGTTCCTGTCTTCATCAGCAACGTGTATCTCAAATCAGCAGCTTTTACGACGACAGTGCCTTCGGACATTGTCATTCTCGATCCTGTTCCAGCATCCGTCACAACGGATGCACCCGTCACCGAGCTACAAGACGTTGGTCTTGTGAGCTTGTAAGTTATCAAAATTTGCACAATTGAGCTGTTAGTAGCGAACATGAATTTCATTAGCAATTTTTTGTTTTGAATGATCAGGATGTCTCATGTGGACACATTGGTGATGGTAACAAACGAAGAGAAGATAGCAACACTTGCAGCAGACCTCAGAGACCCAGTGCACGACAGTCGAGTTGTCTGCGCTGCTGGTGCAGGAGATTCCATTTGCGGAATGCCTGTTTTCACCTCCGCGGCTTCGGGGGTCCACAGATGTCGCATCCACAAAGCGACATCAGTCCGCGCGTTTGATAACGTGACAGCGACTCTCGTTGTTCACGAGAGTGGTAAGCATCATGTCTATCATTTCTGTTTTGGTGTCTCCTATATTTTCCACATTGTTTTAATACATTCGCATTGTTTTAATATTATTTTCTGTGTGTTTCATTCTCAGATTCGTTCACGACGCAGGCTCAGGGATTGGAGATTCAGCCTGAAATCTTGGGACGACTGTTCCCATACAAGTTTTCAGGTTTCGAATTTCAACTCCATGACATTGGGCGAGCGGCAAGATGCATTGGGCGCGCTTCAAGGCCAGTGGCATGTGAAGGTATGGGAATTCAGTTGTGGTTTTTAATATCTTTATTAACATTTTTGTGTACTTGTAAATGTGCACTTTAGTATGCTTTTTTTGGATGGTATTGATAGTTCTCTAACTCAAGTTATTATGTATGTACCTTTCATTGTTATTGAAGGTCCATTTCCGTCCAGAAGGAGAACGCGTGAGCAAGACCATCTTGGACATCTCGACGATCACGCAGTCGAGCGACGCTCCGGCGAGCTTTGACACATCGAGCACACCGATTTCGTCAACACCCGCCAAAAGGAGACATGATGTGAGCACGTTTTTTATTGTGATTATGTATATGTACTCATCGTAATTGTAATTTGATTGATGTATATCATTTTTTAAATATTTGGAAATTGCTCCTTTTTTTTTGCAGCAATGGTGAAGCTTGAGCGATTTGGAACAACGGAGAAGATGCTCACAGAGGTTTATGAAGTTAATTTCAATGAGTTAATTATTATACATTTGAACAGATTATGAAAACGAGTGCAGACTTACGCGAGCGTGAGAACAATGAGTGTGAGAGGGATGACATGTGTTAATAGGTCACTGTTTCTTTAATTGGTGTGGGTATGCGTTGTCTTGTGTGCGTATGTGCGTTGCATTAATAACGCATGTCTGTGGGTTTTAAAAATTAGGATCAAACCATCATTTCCGAGAAGGTTCTTTGCCCACTCAGTGAGTGTGTTCATTTGAACTGGATTTGATGGAATTGACCTTTTTTTTAGATCACACAGATTGTGTTATTTCATGTGGCAGTCGGATGATTCAAACGCTAGGCTATTGACTTCCCCCCCATGCTAGGCAGGGGATGCGGTAGCCTAGTGTATGGGTCAATCAACTATCACGCATTTTCATCATAATACGCATTTACATGATTGGTATTGTATATATAAGTATATACTACGCATATCATTACAGCATATGCATCATATTTATGCATTTCCATTCCATGTTTCGTTTACTATATCCATCGTACCGTCTGCATGTCAGTTCCATTTATGCACGGCAGAATACTTCTGCGTATGCATTACGGATTACGCATTCCTATGATTGGTATAGTATATATAAGTACATACTACGCATACCGATACATCATATGAATCATATCTATGCATTTCCATTCCATGTTTCGTTTACTATATCCATCGTACCGTCTGCATGCCAGTTCCATTTATGCACGGCAGAATACTACTGCGTATGCATTACGGAATAAACAGCCGCATGCTTACCATATTATCATTTTTCCACTAAATTCATCCATATGAAGAGCCAGAGCAAGTTATAAAAATAAAAAGAATATACTACCACACATCGTCATGAGCTGTTACCGCAAATGATTAGAAAACATTTAGGCTATCATTCACTAGATTTACATCTTTTTGTTTTTTTTTTTCAATTATAGGCGATGAAAAAAAAATTATACATAACGAATGCAATAGGTTGTTTCGCAACCCAAAAAAAAAAAAAAAACGAGCCGCGCGCGATTGGCTGGCGGGCTGCGCGCGCGCGGTAGGTAGGAGGCGCACTGGGGCGCGTAGGCGCACGAGGGCGCACGGTAGGTAGGTAGGTAGGTAGGTAGCGGTGGGCCCTAAGAACGGTCCTAGCGAAGGACCTGCTCTGATACCATGTCGGAATCAACAGACAGGAATGATTGAACTAGCAGTGAAATCAGTACAAGTACCTAACCCTAGAATTGTGTACCCCCTATAGGCTAACCCACTGTAGCCTAAACAAACACAACATATATAATGTTTGACAGTTCTAGTCGACAATTTTATTAGCTATGGCCAGAAGACATCTGTGATATGGAGTAACGGTAAATTTTTCCTGCTGTTTGGTTCCCTGTTTTGGGCTCCCATTTACTTACACTAATCTGCTTGTTGATGTCGTTCTCTTGTTCTGACAGGCCTTATTCAATATGAGCTTATTCTGAAGCTGTGTGGTCCTAAAAGAATAAGGTGCCTTTTGGCACTTGATAATCTAGTGTTTGAAATGAGAATCTGTGATCTTATTATCATGTGCAGCGTACACTTGTTTATACAGCTTGTACGTCACATTTTATAAATTTGATACGGGCCTGTTGTGAAATTCTTTAGAAGTGGCTGAATTATTAATAGATAATATTTATACAGTCTCGCATTAGTAACCTGTAATTCGATTTAATTTAGTGTACAGAAGAAGTGTACTATTCAGATTAATGATCGCGTCGCGATCGACGGTGGCATTTGATTGGCTCCAGCAATGTAGGAGCGGAATCTTCGCGGTGACATTACGGTTTTCTGTAGGTTCCTTTTTGGGTGACCTTGAGGTCACAACGAACTTTGAGGTGACCTCGAGGTAACGTAGATGGAGTCCTCGGGGTAACCCACCGCGGGGAAACCTTGAGGTAACCTTGGGGTAGGTTTTTGCGGCGATGATTTTTGGGGTGGATATTCCTTTTCCAACATATCATCTCAGGTCACTTGTAGCGAGCTTTTGATTTCGATAGTCCCTTTTGCGTAATCTTCCCCGTCACGTGTTGTCCTTAGGATATTCATGGCGGCGTCTGTTCTTTCCAACATGCCACGTCGGCTCGTGGTGACCGACGCGTCTGTGATTTCCGGACAAGTAATCGCCGATTTCTGCAGGAGCGTTAACGCCGCTGTCGCCGAGCCGTTGGATTCCGCGATGCAGTCGACAGCCGTCGTGACAAACGCCGGTGCGTGAACGGGATAGTGTCTTTGCTTAGGGTTAGGGTTAGTGTCAAGTGACGCGTCACTCAAATTCGGCCAAGCGTTTTGTGAAAGTTTTGTCCTCTTTTGATGTGATCCCTGAGTGGACTGAAAAGGTGTCCACGCGAATTCGGCGAACGACACGTGAAACGTAGACTCGTGCTCGATAGGCATGATGTGCTTCATGGGCTCTGATAGGCTAGACAGACGCGATAGGATGGATAGGCTTGGCTCCTGCTTTCCGCTTAGCGTCCGAATACCGCACAATACCTTCCAGGTTGCTTTATACTACTATTTAAACGCCTACCCGAACACCTTCCGATTCTCTCCTTGAGTACTTCCTGATCTCTTCCCCCCCCCCCCCCCCCAAACACCTCTGGAAATCCTGAGGGTACTGTGAATTCCCATCAACCCCCTTCTGAACACATTCCGATTGCGCGCAAATGTGTTTCTTCTTGTCGTTCCATGCTTCCTCAGGTTCCACGAAGCTTCCCATCGCTTCCGGATCCCTCGAGTCCGTTCTTTCCATTGCGGAGCGCCCAGGCCATCATGATGCCACGTGTCTTGCTGAGCTGGCACGCGTGCTGCAGCCCAATGGCACGCTGCTGCTACAGGAGCCCGTGGCTGCCAGATCAGCAGCTGCCGTGGAGCTGGAGGTGGGTGACTGTAGAAGTTGACGAGGAACTCTATAACGAGTAAATTGTGCTGACGACTCAGATTCATTGTGCCCATTATTTTCTTATTTTCCATACTTCCTCAAATTTCCATGTTCCCCCTTTCTCCCTTTTCCCTCCCTCCCCTCCTCTCCCCCCCCCCCCGCCCCTTCCCCTCCCTTCTTCCTCACATTCTCCCACTTTTTCAACCAATCAGCGTCTGCCTTCGTCACTCTCCGGGTCACCCCTTCCCAATCAAGCTGCGCTGGAAAGAACGCTCCTCCTATCAGGCTTCGCCACTTGGCAGGCCGTGAGCCCTATTGCTGGCGTGGGATTGGCTCCGGAGTTCAAAGGGATCACGCCTGCGGCCATCGGATCAACCCAAGGGCCCCTTCTCATCCCTGTCACGGTATGGTAATCCTTCATCCATCTTTCACTTTCACACTCTCTTCTACGCTTGCTGCTCTCTGATCAACTCAAGGCCCCCTTCTCGTCCCTGTCACGATATTGTAGTTTTGCATTCCCTTTTGGTTCCTTTCCCGTGCCTCCCACTCACTGATATCTCCCGTGCCCATCCTTCCCTCCCTTCCTCCCTTCCTCCCTCCCTCCCTCCCTCCCTCCTCCACCCCTTACACTCTCTCAGATCGAGGCTCGGAAATCCGCGTGGCTCGAAAATCCGCGTGGCAAACCGGCTCCTCCTTTTCCCTCCGCAGAAGAATTCTCTTGCCTCCTTCCCCAAGCCCCCCGTCATCCACTCCCTCTTTCCCCACCTTCCTTTTTCCCCCCTCGCTCTCAGAGCTCAAGGCACAGAACCCCACGTGGCAAACCGGTTCTTCCTTTTCCTTACAAAAGAAATCTGCTTGGCGTTTTCCTCTGCTCCCCATTTACTTATATCTATCTCCTGTTTCCATAATTCCCTCCCGCTCTCCACCTCCCTCTCGCCCTCTCAGCTCAAGGCACAGAAACCCGCATGGCAAACCGGTTCCTCCTTTTCCCTCAAGAAGAAAGGCACCTCATCCGAAACCACTGCTGCTGCTGCTGCGCCGGCAGCAGCGCCTGCCACGTCAGCAGGGGTGCCGCTGCCCGCGCCCGCCATGTGGCGCGTCGCTACTGGCGGAGCGGGCGAGGAGGATGATGAGCTGGTGGACGAGGATTCGCTGCTGACAGCGGAGGATCTGGTGGCTCCTGCGCCTCCCCCTGCCAGTGCCTCCGCAGGTAGGTCACTACTGCTACCATTTAGCACTACCAATGCTGGTGGAGTGGGCGTGGATGAGGACTCACTGCTGACAGCAGAGGATCTGGTGGCTCCTGCGCCTCCTCCTGCCAGTGCGGCTGCAGGTGTGGTGCCTCCGCAGGTATGTCACTACTGCTGTCAGCTAGCGCTAACAATACTGGTGGATCTTGCTAGAAGGAGGATGAGCTGCTGACAGCAGAAGATTTGGTGCCTACCGTGCCCCCCCCCTGCCAGTGCGGCTGCATGTATGGTGCCTCCGCAGGTGTGTCACTACTGCTGTCAGCTAGCGCTAGCAGAAGAGGCAGGAGGAGCAGAGGGCAGGGAGGAGGAGAGCAAGCTGATTCTCCCTCAGCTCTCCCCTTCCCTGTTCTCATCCCCTACTCTTGCAGGCTGTGGCACGGGCCAGATGGCAAGGAAGGCGCGCGCAAACTGCACGTGCGGGCGGGCGGAGATGGTTGAGTGCTAAACACCTCCCCCCCTTCTCCTCCCCTTACACACTCTCTTCTTTTGTAACCCTCTTGCAGGCTGTGGCACGGCCAAGACTGCTGAAAGGCATGCAAGAACTGCACGTGCGTACGGGCAAAGATGGCGTGACATGCATGTATGAACTAACCCCCTCTCCCTCCTCTCTTTTCCTTCTCTCATCCCAGGCTGTGGCACGGCCAAGACGGCAAGGAAGGCGTGCGCGAATTGCACGTGTGGGAGGGCAGAGATGGAGGCAGCAGAAGAGGCGGGAGGAGCAGAGGGAGGGCAGGGCAAGAGCAAGCTGACACTCGATCAGATTGCCAACCCTGAGTCAGCGTGTGGCAGTGTGAGTGGCGCAGTCAAGTGCATTTTGGTCTAGTTGGTGTTGCTGGAGGGAGGGATAGAGGGAGGGCAGGGAAAGAGCAAGCTGAAGCTCGATCAGATCGCCAACCCCGAGTCAGCGTGTGACAGTGTGAGTGGAACAGTCAAGTATTTTAGAAACATGTGGGGATGGGAGAAGGAGCGAAGGGGAGGAGCAAGCTGACTCTCGATCAGATCGCCAACCCTGAGTCACCATGTGGCAGTGTGAGTGCGGTGGTGAGGGTGTGAGTGCGGTTGTGAGGGTACTCCAGGTGTAAGAAGAGCGAATGCAGGGCAGAGGGGGCAGAGGGAGGGCGGGGAAAGAGCAAGCTGACTCTCGATCAGATCGCCAACCCCGAGTCAGCTTGCTCTTTTCCTGTGGTGTGTGGCAGTGTGAGTGAGAAATCGGAGTGTGAGGGTATCTGCCAGAGTGTGAGGACTTTCTGCTGTAAGAAACTGGAGCAGGCGGAGAGAAGGAGGGGCAGGCGAAAAGCAAGCTGGCGCTTGATCAGGTCGCCACCCACCCCGCACTGCAGTGTGGGCTAGGTGGCGGTTTCCATTGTTCTGGCTGCCCCTACGGCTGGCTGCCCCCCTTCAAGCTTGTTGTTTCCCCATGAAAGACAGATACCCGTCTTATTCCTCTCATTTCCTTACCCATCATCCCACACCTCCCCCCCCCGCACGGCAGTGGGGCTTACAGACGCTTTTTGCTGTGCCAGCTGCTCTTACTGCCCAGGCTGCCCCTTTTCAGGCCTGCCGTCGCACCATGTCAGCCAGCTCGCCCTCTTTTGCGTCCTACTCTATTCTGTTTCGGCACTCCACTCTCCATTCTCCACCCCACCTGGTGCTGCTGCAGTGTGGCCTAGGAGGCGCCTTCCTCTGTGCTGGCTACGGCTACTATGGGCGGGCTCCTTCATTCGTGCCATCACTCTAGCAGAAAAAATACCGTCTCATGCCTCCTCTCCTCTTATACCCCCTCTCCACCCCTCCCCACCCCTCCCCAACCCTCCCCACCCCTCCCCACCCCTCCCCACCCCTCCCTGTAGTGTGGCTTGGGAGACGCTTTCCGCTGTGCTGGCTGCCCGTACCGTGGGCTGCCTCCATTCAAACTTGGAGAAAAGGTGGGTCGAGGGATGGGGGAAGGGATGAGGAAGGGGCTTGGGGCCTATGGAACAATGGGATGGGGTAAGGCTGCCGGCTTTTAGGCTTGGAGAGAAGCTGTGTGGGAGGAGGGGTGGGAAGAGGAGGGGATGAATTGGGTTGGAAAAAGGCTGCCATTAGTACATGCTGCTGCGTCGTTAGGCTTGGAGACAAGGTGCGTGGGAGGAAGGGTGTGTGATAAGTCGATTTTTTAGTCGACTCAAAAAGAGGCTGCCATTACTGCGCGCTGCTGCGCTTAGGCTTGGAGACAAGGTTCGTGGGAGGAAGGGTGCAGGGAGGCGGGGGTGGGGACTGAGACGAAGTGGGATGGGGTAAGTCTACCCATACCCTTCAGGCCTGGAAAGCAGGTGATTGGAGGAAGGAGAGAGGGATGGGGGAAAGGAGGTAGGTTGCCAGATGGGGGCGTCTGAGAAAGGGTGAGTGCAGGAAGGAAGGGGTGGGATGGTTGTTGTGGGGAAGGGTGGCAATCAGGGGGGCGTAAGAGGGTAGGGAGATAATGGAAGCAATTTTGAAAAAATTCACAGGCAATCATGAGAGTGGTAGCATATGTATCTATCATTTGTGTGTGCTCTTTTGCCTTCTTAATACTTCAGAGAAACGTTTTGTTCTTGTATCCGCATTCCTGCCACCCTTCTTTCCCTTTTTCCTTCCCTTGCCGTTTCCCCAGAGTTCCCTGGGCAAAGATCTTCTCTCTGTTGACGTGTAGAAGCTTCGGGTTTGAATGAACTGGCTTATTCATGTGTCCTCATTCCTGCTACCTCCCTTTTCCCCCCCCTGCCGTTTCCCCAGATCTCCCTGGGCAAGGATCTTCTCTCTGCTGACGTGTAGAAAGCCTCGGGATAACATAGAGAAGATTGCACAAGATCGTGTGCAGCACAGCGGCAATCAGTCTTACGGGTCGAACTGCTCTGACGGCAGTGGGAGGAGCAGCAGCAGCAGCAGGAGTTGGTGGGGCAGAGGCAACAGAAGAGGCAGCGGGTGGAGCAGCAGCAGCAGCAGCAGCATTGGTGGGAGAGGAGCAGGGAAAGCAGCAGAGGCATGAGCAGCAGCAGGAACAGGATGCAGGGGGGTTGCATTGGAACAGCGGAGCAACGGGGTCTTGGGATTGGGTTGGAGTGGGAATGAAGCTTCGTGGTTTTGTCTGTAGATGATGTGATTATGCGATGTTTGGGTACTATGTTCAATGAAAGTTCCAACTTTTACGGGCGGGTGTCTTGTGGGCTTGATGTCTCACTTATGGATATCTGCACAGGAGGATCTGGCATGCCAAACGAAGTGCATGAAAGGATGTGCTGATTCCATAGACTATGCACAGGCTGTCATACATGACTGGAATGGTATATACATGCACTGGTGTCACAGTAACACAGTCAGCACTAGAACTTCTTACATACGAAGAGAGCATACAGCTTCTATGTACAGTGTGGTATGGTAGCTCAAGTCTGTATACTGCCTACCTAGCTCATCTCACCACTGCTTGTACCCTACTGTGACTCATGATGCCTCCTCTTCCTCATACCATTCTTCTTCCTGTTCATGAAATTGCAATATACTGTAGAGACATTTCCCTCCATGCAAATCTCTATTCGCCTTTTAATCTCCTTTTTAGCACGGCCTGTTAACGTGCAATAGCGCTGCAGAGATTCCGGCATTGAGTCGTGTACACTCCACCACCTCTTATGAGCAGCCTCATTTGCAAAATTCTGAAGAGCTGGGTGCAGCACGTTACAATCAAACTCGCGGTAGCACGCCCACGGCTTCATACCAAGGTAGTGTATTGCGTGGATTTCGGAAGGGTCTTCTGAAAACCACCTGTTTTTCTTAGCGAGGATAGCTTGCCTTCTCACAGGGTCAGTGGTCCAGATCGGTTTGAGGGTGTTTATGGACTCTGGTAAGCGGTGCCACCAGGTGAAGACATTGTTCAAAAAGCCCTGGGGAAGGGGTAGGGGCAAGGGGGAAGGGGTATCCGTAAAATTGGCAGAAGGGGAAGGGGAAGGGAACGGGGAGGGAAGGTGGCAAAGGGAACAGGGGAAGTGATGAGTCGGGGAAGCAGGGAAGGTGACAGGAAGTTGCATGGTCTCACATGGCCCCCTCTATTGACCCATCACATTCTTTCCAGCTTCAAGAAGAAGAACGACTCGAATTTGCCATCGAATTCAACCTTCCAGTTCTGAATTCGGTGGTTTTTGAGGCGCATTGAGGTAGTTTTTGAGGCGCCTCAAAAACCACCTCAATGCACGCGAATTTGCCATCGAATTCAACCTTCCAGTTCTGAATTCGCACTTGCAATGCCTTGCATCATGCTCTCACCATCACATAGCATCATGGTCTCACCTGTTCCCCTCCGTTCAGCGAGCCGGCAAGAGTAGCCCCCTGTGCAAGCGAGCGGGTGATACAGACTCACATCTTGGTCTCACCTGGTCCCCTCCGTTGGCTGATTTCACGCGCTCCAGATTTGTCATCAGCAGCTCAAACGTGCAATCCGACGGCTCCAGGACCATCACGCCTGAGTTGAAATCTGAGCCGTCGTTTCCGCGGGCGGAGATTTCGGGGTAGGAGAAGAGAAAGTCAACGCTGTTCAACAGGAGCAGGTCCGAGTCAATGAAGAGAAGCTTGGCGTACTCCGTCTGCTGCCACAGCCGCAGCTTGCTGGAGGAGGGGAGTAGGTGGGGGCGGGAGGGAGGGGATTCAGGAGAGGTCAATGGAGCGAGAGTCAATGAAGACCAGCTTGGTGTACTCCGTCTGCTGCCACAGCCGCAGCTTGCTGGATGGGTTGATGGGGGAGGGAGGTGGGGGCTTGAAGAGACTGAGGAGAGTAGTCAATGGAGTCAACGAGAGTCAATAAAGAGCAGATTGGTGTACTCCGTCTGCTGCCACAGCTGCAGCTTGCTGGGGGGGGAGGGGAGGGGAGGGGATGGGAGAGGGAGGGAGGGGATTCAAGAAAGGTCAATGGAGTCAACGAGAGTCAATGAAGAGCAGCTTGGTGTACTCCGTCTGCTGCCACAGCCGTAGCTTGCTGGGGGGGGGGGGCGGGGATTGGGGGGAGGGGAGGGGGGAGGAGGAGAGGGGTTGGGGGCAGGAGAATGAACAAAAATTGACAGGATGAAAATGAGTCAGTCAAAGTTCAAACAGGTCAAGGGAAGTCAACATGAGAGTGAGAGAGGCACAGCACTCACAAACCTGTAGTTCCACTCGTTATAAGCCCCCTTCACTGCGTTGGGGTTGCGAATCCTCTCGATTTCCTTCACCGTCCACCCCGCCTCCCTTAGGCCTCGCCTGCTCTCCTCTTGAATCTCCTTCGATACAAGCACAACCATCTCGTGCCCGCTCCCCGTCCTCCTTATGCTGTGCCCCAGTACAATTGCACCGCACACATAGCGCTCCGAGGAGTGTAGCACAGTAGCGTATGCGACGCGCTGGTTGGCTGGGGAACAGCGGAAAGAAGGGAGGGATGTGGAGGGATGTAATAAGTCGGCCACAATGCAAGGTAGGTAAAATAATCAACCTGTCAGATAGCAATACTTTTCTAAATTAAGCAACAAGAGGCAAACAAGCAAATGCATAGCCAAACTGCCAGACAGCATTTTAATTGTTTGTATGCTGTTTATGCAACTGTTGTTGTTGTTTTTTTTTTTTTTTGAAGTATTTCATTCCAAAATAATTACAACGACAGCTAACGAGAATGTCGCTCACATCTTGTTCCCTACCTTCCACCAGGCTGCTGTTGATTGGCTGAGCCATGGCACAAGATCCCAGGGGCTGTACACGTGTCAGCATGTCACTGGCCGTCAGGTTGTACAGCCACGTGTCACCATCCCGCGCCACGAGTCGCGAGCAGTGGAAGAGGTTGGGCGGCGGGCGGCATGCGGAGAGTAAAACAACCGGTAACCACGTGCGGTTCGCCTGTTACAAGGGGGATTGGGAGGGAGGGGGAAATGGATGAGACAGGGCGAGCAGCACCACTGGTAACCATGGGCAGGGAACCTGATACAAGAGCGGCGGGTGGGAGTCAGATAGAGTAGAATGAGGAGAAGAGTAACACAGCAGGTAACCAATTTTCGTACAGGGGAACCGAGAGGGGGCTTAGCTGAAACAAGGGGTATTGGATGATGCGAGGAGAGTAACACCACTGGTGGTAACCATGCATGGCCGAGGTGTCCGGTACGGGCGGGGGGGGGGGGGGGATAGAATAGGGTGGCAGGGAGAGAGCAGCATGACTGGTGAACACACAAAAGGGGAAAAAGAAAAAAGGGAAAAAAAAAAAAACGCATGGAAACAGAAAAGAAATTGAAGGCAGCTCATGCAACACAGCCTGAACGCCCCTTCACACCCACCACCCCTCCCTCCCTCCCCTCCTCCTCATCCCCTCTCTCCTTTCCCCCGCTATTCTCTGTTGCAAAGTAGAAGGACATGAGAGGCCAGAGACAGAAACACGTGTTACATACAGTACCCTTTTAACAAAGCCTGCAATAGTGAGAAGGTGGTGTAGCCAGCGAACATCCTTCGCCCAGGAATCGCTAGGCTTGTCGCAGGGCACGTGTGCGACAATGGCGTGGATGCTGGTCAGCCAATCCGGGTCGTTCGGCTCAGAAATTTTCGGGCAGGATGAGCGCGATTCGTTCACCCACTCGGGGTACGCGTCGCGCCACGTCAGCGTCTCGGGCACGCGCGGAACGGGCAGCGGGAGAAGCTTGTAACGCGTGGAGGCGAACGTGCTCGTAACGGAGGGATCTACATTAAACGTCGCGACGTTCGTGAACGGTAAGCGATTTTTTCGATGGAACGGGATCAGAGTGGCGAAAGCGCGATCTAAAGCGACAACAAGCAGGGCATCCCCTTCAGGCAACAAGGACTTGAACACAGCTGGTAAGGATACAGCCGTTGGAAATTCAGCTGTTCGGGATTTTACAGGAGAAACCCGAGGGGGGTTCAGAGAGACATCAATAGTGCTTCTAAGCGCATCACGCGGCGCAGCGTAGAACTCGCGAGTGCGGTAGGCTAAGAGGAGTAGGACGAGCGTTGCGACGGAGCAAGCCGCCCGAAACAGGCCGCTCTTTCCTCGAAGGCTCGCGCGGAGAAGCAGTGAGGAGACAGGGATCCGCATTGCGAGGGATTCAAGCCGCATGGTTCTTTCAGGTGCCTTAAAAACACGGCTCGCGTTGTTCAAATCGCGCAGTAGCTGTAAAACATCCTTGCAAATCCTCTCCGCAGCGTGGCACGCTCTTATTAGGCGTTAAAAAGGACAATGTCACAGCTATGACTTATGGGTCGACTCGAAAGTCAATATCATCGCTATTTTGGATAATTCGTCTGACTCGTTGAGCCAGACGTACCGGGTGGGAACCAGAAGTAACGTACCAGGAACTAGAGTGATGCTCACGGTTTTGCTGCTGAGTTTGTTCGAGTAACTTCAGACGTCACAAGAGAAGGTTCACAAGAAGCAGTCATACATTTTACCAGACGTCTCAAGAAGCGCCACGGATCTGCTGACGGCGATCCTGCTGCTGCGGCGAGTTTGATGTGCGACAGATGTGCGACAGAGACTTGTTGTCGATGGTCATGTGCTGCGGCGGCGAGCTCGGGAAGGCTTGCAGGCTTGCGACCGCTTTGCGTGCCTATGCGGTCGTTCAACGCTCGTCCAAATCAGAATCGCATCTCAAAATACACACTCTTCGCTACACACTGCTCGTCACGTCACGTCTAGATCATAATTATTGATCATGGCAGCGTACATGGGACACAAACAAAACTCGCGCGCTCTGCATTACATGTCACGTCACGCCATGACAGATTACGATCGTCACACGTCCCAGGCGCGTACAATGGTCAGACACGGCGGAATCACTACTACTGTCGACATCTCACGCACTGGGGACGTATCTCTGGCAGCTCCTTGCGACAGCGACAGTCATTGAAAATAAGGGCGTGTCTCCATTTTGTTTTTTAGGAATTTCGCGGACGGTCCACTATATTTTTAAGCGGACCGTCCTTCTAAAGAATATCGGACAGTCCACAATGACAATTCGAAACTTTGAACGGTCCGAAGCCAAATGTGTCACCAATTTTCCCACGAGAACTAGACGAAGTACTGTGGCTTCGCTTGCCATGTTGTACCCCCGTAACCCAGCATACCCCACCTCGCCGAAATCGCACATCCTCCATGCGACTCGGCTCAGGAACCAAACATACAACACGCAAAGCACGCGACATTGAACCAAACAAACACAAAAGCAGTACTACCACCGTCAGAACAGGAAACCTTCGCAGTGCAGAATGTCCAGGCGCCTACTACTCTCTGTGCTCCACCTGCTGTACAGAGGGTACCAGGAATTAATAGTCACGCCAGGGCTTAACCACATAGCCGACGTCTTACAACTCTTGGAGGATGAGGAACGCAATACAATGCGGCGCGACCGTGAGAACCAGAGAGCTAGATGGGACGGGCTTCTCATGTCAATGCCTTACAACACATTTGTAGACACCTTCAGAGTCAACCGCACAGTCTTCAACTATCTAGTCGACGCGTGGCTTACTAGGAACGGTGACCGTCAGCGGGTGGTTCCAATTGAGACATGTGTTGCCATGATCTTGGTATACCTTGGCACGGGAGCAACCTACCGCCACATCGCAAAAAAGTCGACCTTAAGAATGGCAATTTAAAGCCATAATCGCCCTCTGTATGGCAGGTTAAAGCCGGCAGCCCAAATTGCACAAGTTTTAAAAGGTTGACGCGAGGGGGTTTTTGTGGTGAGGGTTTTGGCGAAAGATTCCGATTTCGCTTTTTTCGTTTTTTTCGCCAAACCCAGCCCGCCCTCGTATTTCGCCCTGGGGGTTGGTTCAGTTCCCAAAAGTCCCAAATTGCAGGCACGCTTTTCTTCAAACCTTGAAAACACTAGTTCGTCAAGTTTTAAAAGCTTGACCCGCGCGGCCCGCAATTTGGGACTCGGGCTTTAATGGCCCGAAACTGGCGGGCTTTATACAGGCAGGTTCGTAGGCATTTAGGGTCCGTAAATTCCCCGCCTGTGTATCGCGCGGAATGGCTGTTTACGCCAATATTCCGGTACACCTCAATGCTTGTTCATGGCTGTATATGGCATGCGAATGTCTAGTAATTGGCCCACATTTTATCGATTGTTATAGGCGTGCAATAATTGCCTGCTTATTGGAGGCATAGAAATCCCTATTAATTGCCATGCCATTATTCAAGTCTGTCATAAATGGTGTTACATTGCCCCAAACTAAACTGTCATGGACAGGTTGATTATCCTTATGTAAGGAGACAGAATTTATTCGCATACCTATTCATTTACCACCCATCCAGTAAACAGTACCCGAATTAATCGTTATATTTCTCAAAAAACAGTTACATTTTGAAGGCATACTTAGGGTCAGAACGCTACCTATCCTACAGAGCTACCTTGCGGTAGCCCTACACAAGTCCTTCAAATGCAAACTCAAATCCTTCAATGAGGATTTTCACAGCTCCACTGCCCATAACAAAACCCGCAGGAGCTTCATCAGAGTAAACAGCTTCACCTGCTTCGAGCCGGGCCTTGATCCAAGAGATGACAACAAGAACCTTTGCAGCCACGGCGGCCCTGTTATTCTCATCAGAGGCATCCAGGGAGGGGTTGGCACGGCCATTGTGGTTTGCCATAGGCCACTCCACCTGCAGGAAACCACAAAGGCATGAGTGCATATCTAATATGTATTGGAAACAGAATGACCAACAGGAAAAGAAAAACGACTTACCACATGGCAAATAGTTGCCACAGCAAGGATCTTGACGTTGAAGCGGTTGCAGCGCTTGCCGCCAAGTCCTTTGCAGATGGCGAGCTCGAACGGTCGGCTGGCAAAAGGGCGGCCAGATCCGTCACAGTGCCAATTCGAACCATACACAGCTGCCAGGATTAAACGGGACGGGAGTTATAGACTGTAGGGGTGTTGTTGCTAGTAAACGCTACAAAAAAAACTCACCATCCCGAAAGTGGGCGTGCCACTCTGCAGGCGTGCGGCGACGCGATGGCGCAATGTTCTCGCTCGCAAGCATTGCAACTTTGTTCTCGGTGATATAGCCACCAGGGCCATGCGCGTAAGGCTTGGCCACCGCGTAGATGTTGCAACGGCGCTCCGACATCTTCTGCAGCATGATGCGCTCGCGCTCAGGGTTCTCCGCCATCACCCGGTTGAACATGTCAAGAGGCACCCCGACGTCCTCGTACAGCTCCTGCACTTTGCGCCTAAGCTGTGCCAGGGTGGGGTAAAATGACTGCTCTCTCGCTGGAGCTCCCGCTATGAAATAGTTGACCGCGTCGTTGCACTTTTGCTGCACATCACAACGACAACAAAGAATAGGCAGTTGTTAGAATTAAAACGAGTCAGTCAGTCAACGAGTGATACAAATACAACAGGACGAACCAATTAGTCAGCCAACCAATGATTCAGATACCTTGCACTAACCTTGAAAAACGATAGGTCCAGGAGCACAGGGGGGATTGCCGCACCCTCCAGCACGACTGGAGCCGTCGATGGCCCAGGCGCGTTGGTGGTCGCCAGCGGGCTGCTGCGCTGCGCTGTTGCGTGCAGCAAACCAGCACCAGCTCCTGTACTCCAGCTGTTGGAAGATGACGGGCCGGGGCTACCTCCCGTTGCTGGGGCAGGCTTCTGGCGGGCAGCAACGACTGCTCGCATTCGTGCAGCATCCTGTTCCTGCTCTTCCAGCTGCTGACGGAGGTCCGTGAGTGTCTCAGCCTGTTGCGCAATCGTCCGCTCCATGTCGCGGTTCTGTGCCACCTGCTCATTAACCGGAATCGGTCGAGCTGCATGGAAAAATAAATAAGAATAAAGAAAGAGTAGGTTAGTAGGATGCCTGGACGAAAATGTGTGGCACAAACGTCTTTGTGCACAAACGCAGAAATCGGGCAGAACTCACTAACCTGGCTGCTTCGGCCTTTTCTCACGCGCTGACGGGTGAGCTCCTTGGTCACCGCCCATAAGGCCAGCGACATCGGCGCTGCGCCTTCGACTCTCAGGACGGTCATCCTCGGCCGGATCGTCATGAGTTTCGGCTAACTCGCACTCGTCGGGATGTCCCTCACCCTCGTCCTGCTCCTCACCCTCGCCAGGACCTTCGCCCTCGTCGATTAGAGCGTTTAGCTGATTTTCCTCCGGATCGGTTTCAGGCTGAGTGTTAGTGGCGGCAACATCTGCAGTTGCGGGAGTGTTGTTGATCTCCCCGACGGCTGTTTCTGCAACGTGTGTTTCGGTATGTGACTGGGGTGCAGAGCTGGCTTCCTGTCGCTGCAATTCCGCGTTCAGCTTGTCCCTCAGCGCAGCCAGGTCTTCGCGTGACATTTCCCGCAGCTCAGGGTCGCGAGGAATTTCTTTGTTACCAGCACCCTGACGAGTGCTGGACCCCCCAGATTTCTTCGTTGGTGGCTTGTAACCGGTAGTGTCGTGACCATTCAGGCGAACTGATGTCGTGAGTTGGCGTTGAGGGCGACCAGTGCATTGAGCCTGATTGACGCGCGCCTGGGATAGGGCACCTGTGGCAGCAATCTGGCTGGCCATGCTGAGCATGCGGGAACGGTTGGAGGGGGTTGGTTGGAAAACTGTGTGCGACGATTGCTCCGTCGCACAAGCAGTCATATATGCCGATTCAACACACCTAACGAACTGCTTTCATTGGCTGTTCAAAACAAGAAGCGATGCGCTGGATAATCGTGCGAGTCGCAGACAAGTGCGAGTCGCAGAATGCACCGCGAACCACATTTCGGATTGTTGGTGCAGGGTGGCGATTGTCTCGGCGCCGCGAACCATCGAACGTTCTACACAGGTGCATCTCGGGTTGCAAAGAGAATCTTTTTAGTGGTTACAAAGACAGTTTTGAAGGGTCCCGCCACGTGGCGTATCATCGAACTCACAAGTAGCTGCCTTCGATACTGTCAAGATAGCGCCGCCGCTGCACGTAGTCGCGCACGGATGATCCAGATTCGGGGCCTCGTCATTCTCTCACGTACAGTGCATGCATGGTTTGTGTTCTGCACTACAATAAGGAAATTTTTTATTTGGGAAGTGGCTCAACTAAACTATAACATGATCTATCATGTTCTGTGCTACAAGGTATGGGAGCATGGCTTGTATATAACCCATCAAATATGTACAAAGATTTCATGTCACACTTCAAAATATATATTGGTTCAACAACCATTAAGGTTCACTAGATCGAGGCTGAACAAGGTGAACGGCACGCAGTATACTCGTGGTCTCTACCACGCGGTATCTCTGATTCATTGCAGCCCACTTGAGCTGCTTGCAATGGGTCTTCTCGTCGGGGTCTGGAAGTTCGTCGTAGTACTTGATAAAGGCATAGTCTCGCCGATCCCTCCCATGCCCGATGTGAAACAGGAGGAGTACTTTCGCGTACCACTCACCGGAGCCATGAATGGCTACGTCGGAAAACCAGCCACGTCCGTGAAACACAGGCACGGCACGTAACCGATGTGGCACGGCTCTAAACGATGGGTGCGTAGCAGGAGGAATGCCCAACTCATTGTGCACATGAATGGTAGTTGCGTTCTTTGTGGCCTCTGAGAATCGGTTAAGGGCTTGCCTTAGGTGTCGGAGGTCGTCGCCCAATGCAGTGACGTATCTCTCGTCACGCACCCTTGAGGGAATTGGGAAACTTACGAACGGTGCCTCACGACGGCCTCTCAAGACAGTTAAAGGCCATGCGGATCGTCCCATGATGCGCCTGCCAGTGGCCATTGCCTGCACATTGAAACAATAGGCGGTTAGTGATGGCACAAGCAATTGTTGACATTTGCATCAAATTGCCTTGACTCACCTCTCGCATAGCGGTGTTGTAATGCGTCTCTGTCACTTCCGACGCACCAAGATAATCCACCGCAAGTCTGGTCTCCTCTGCGCGTACAAGTTGCCCTGATACATCACGTTTGTTGGACGCACGATAAGGCCGTTTTATGTGGTCCTTGTGGAAGAACTCGGAAATGTTGGCATCGTAGTGTATGGGTGGGCCCGCACGACGGATGGCTTCGACGTAATGGCTTATCAGGTGCATCTTGATGAATCTCCAATTTGAAGTTTGCTTAAACGCGGTTGTTAGTTGATCGATCATCCTGCAGACAAGGGAGAGCACAAACATACGTTACGGAACCGAGATTAGCAACGTTTGATGCAAACAAGTAAGTTTTCTTACCTCACGGCTAGCTCCTGCAACTGTTTCAGGGTGTTGTCGTCGTATGTTGTTGCCTTTGCGCACTCCGTGTACCAACGAAGGTACGAAATGATAGCGTCCATTTGCGGTTGTGCGATGTGCGAGGAGACGAGAAATGGCAGAAGTTGCATCACTGAACGATGCTCATACGCTTGGTAGGAAGCACCTAGCTTGAAGTATTGCCCAGACGGCAGCCGTAATGGATCCCACATACAAATCTGTTTGAGGTATTTGAGCCGCCTGAAACATGGACAGAACAACAAAGTAGTGAGAAGGTATTTAGTGTGTCGTTACACATGAGCCAACGTTGCCATCATTGCAATAGTACATACCTATCGATTGCTTCACGTGTTGATTCGGGTATGGTGTCACGCAAGGCTGTGAGGATATGATCGAGAATGCCCAAGTCCGCTTGGTGCATGAGATCCGGCATGACTGCTAGGTATGGGTTCCCCCATTGTTCCGACTCAAACCTCCATCCCCAGAGTGCGCTCTGCATAGACAAGCGACGCCAAATAAGTAAAAGCGGAGGTAATCAAAGGTGAAACATATGATAAAACCAACTTAGACACCATGAACAACTGACCTCGACAGGATGGGTTGAAAGGTCTTCCACTGCTGCCTCTCCACGTCGTCTTGGTGCCTTTAGAGCTGTGCAAATGTCCTGTTGCTGCTGGACGGTGCGCCATTTTAAGTGTGTCTGGTATTCAGCCAGGTCATTCTTGTGGACGGTGCAGAGTGAGCAGGGGTAAGTTGTAGCCCCCGACTTTGTACAAGTTATCTTGCACGTCTCTGGGTAGTCCGCTATGTAAGCATACAGCGCAGGGTATGCGGTGAATGAATGGCCCGATGCGTCTTCCACTCTAGCGCCCCTGTTCAGAACACGTGCGAGAGGAAAGGAAAAAGGTTAGTAGATATTGTAGCAAAATCCGTTCACTCACTAATGTTGTAGCGAAATCCATGCACTTACACATGACTGGCGGCCTTGAGGGGCTGTAAAGCCTTGCCAAGAACCTTATGGAATACTTGTAGACGGTCAAGCGATGTGTACTCAGGAGGAAACTCCGGCAGCAATGCAATCATCGCATGACCGTGTGGTTTCCAACGGTCCTCGCGTGCGATGTTGGCCAGCGACATGTAGATGGGATGTCCTTTAGACTTCCCTCTTGAGTCCATCATCGTTTCGTCCGAGGCGAGAATGATGGTTGCTACAACATCATCCGGTCCAAGCTTATCCTGTTCGGCAAAACAGTGAGTCGAAAATGGTGGTGCCGGGAAATAACAAATGTGAGGTGAGCGAATATAAAACACATGGCCATGGCCCAACCAACAACCCGCAGCATACCTGGACGTTGTTCCAAAAATCTGCCGTCTCGGGTGCGTCGTAGACACGAACGTTATTCACAATCTTCCGATGAGCTCTTGTGACGAGTCCTCGAGCGTTGCGGGAATCGCGTAAGAGGGACTTCATGGCCTGGTTGTCGAGGGCATGGAAGTGCAAGGGAGGGGCAGGTCAGGGTAGTGAGGGGTGGGGGGGAGAGAATTAGGTGCATGAAAGGACGATGAGAGGCCAATACGGAGAATGAGGAGCAGGGAGGGTGAATGAGGGGTGGGGAGGGAGAATGAAGGGGTGGGGAGGGGAATGAGGGGCAGGAAGGGAAAAGTGGGGTGAGGAGAGAGAATGAGGGGCAGGAGGTAGAATGAGGGGTAGGAAACAGGGAATGAGGAGCAGGGATGGATCATGAGGCACAAACAATAGACATGAGGGGCAGGGAGGGAGAGAGAGGGGTGGGGGACAGAGAATGAGGTGCAGGGATGGATCATGAGGCGCAAACAATGGAAATGAGTGGCAGGGAGGGAGAGAAAGGGGTGGGGGACAGAGCGTGAGGTGCAGGGATGGATCATGAGGCGCAAACCGTGAGAATGAGTGGCAGGGAGGGAGAGAAAGGGGTGGGGGACAGAGCATGAGGTGCAGGGATGGATCATGAGGTGCAAACAATGGAAATGAGGGGCAGGGAGGGAGAATTAGGGGAGGGGGAAAGGGGATGAGGAGCAGGTTGAGAGGATCAGCCGCAAATCCTGAGAATGAGGTGCATGGGGGAAGATGAGTCGCAAATCCAGAGAATGAAAGGCAAGGGAGGGATAATGAGTGGTGGGGGAAGGGGAATGAGGTGCATGGAGGGATGATGAGCTGCAAATCCTGAGAGTGAAAGGCAGGGAAGGAGAATGAGGGATGGGGGATAGGGAATGAGGTGCACGGAGGGATGATGAGGCGGAAATCCTGAGAATGAAAGGCAAGGGAGGGATAATGAGTGGTGGGGAAAGGGGAATGAGGTGCATGGAGGGATGATGAGGCGGAAATCCTGAGAATGAGCCTGATGGGAGGGAGAAAGAGGGGTGGAAAAAGGGAATGAGGAGAATGAGGAGAGAGGATGAGGCGCACACCCCGAGAATGAAAGGAAGGGAGGGGGAACGAGGGGTGGGGGAAGGGAATAAGGTGCAGGAAACGAGAATGAGGCGCAAGCCCTGAGAATAGGACGGGAGGAAGACAGAGGGGTGGGGGAAAGGGAATGAGGTGCAGGGAGGGATGATGAGGCGCGAACCCCGAGAATGAGATGACAGAAGGGAGCATGAGGGATAGGTGCAAGAGAATGAGGTGCATGGAGGGATGATGAGGGGTAGGGAAAAGAGGAGGGGCAGGGAAGGAGAATGAGGGGTAAGGAAAGAGAATGAGGGTCAGGGATGAATGATGAGGCGCAAGCAATGAGAATGAAAGGCAGTGAGGGAGATTGGGGGGTGGGAATGAGGTGCAGGTGAGATATCAGAGGCGCAAACTGTGAGAATGAAAGGCAGGGAGGGAGATTGGGGGGTGGGAATGAGGTGCAGGTGAGATATCAGAGGCGCAAACCGTGAGAATGAAAGGCAGGGAGGGATATTGGGGGGTGGGGGAAAGGGAATGAGGTGCAGGTGAGATATCTGAGGCGCAAACCGTGAGAATGAAAGGCAGGGAGGGAGATTGGGGGGTGGCGGAAAGGGAATGAGGTGCAGGTGAGATATCTGAGGCGCAAACCGTGAGAATGAAAGGCAGGGAGGGAGATTGGGGGGTGGGAATGAGGTGCAGGTGAGATATCAGAGGCGCAAACCATGAGAATGAAAGGCAGGGAGGGATATTGGGGGTTGGGGGAAAGGGAATGAGGTGCAGGTGAGATATCTGAGGCGCAAACCGTGAGAATGAAAGGCAGGGAGGGAGATTGGGGGGTGGCGGAAAGGGAATGAGGTGCAGGTGAGATATCTGAGGCGCAAACCGTGAGAATGAAAGGCAGGGAAGGAGACTGGGGGGTAGGGGAAAGGGAATGAGGTGCAGGTGAGATCCGAGGCGCAAACCGTGATAATGAAAGGCAGGGAGGGATATTGGGGGGTGGGGGAAAGGGAATGGGGTGCAGATGAGATATCCGACGACTAACCTTTAGGCTGTCACAGAAGTGATATTTCAGAAGCGCCTTCCCCGCGATCCGGCACTCGCCACTTTGCCATGATCGGTCCGTGTTGACAGCCTTGGTCGCCACATATTTGTATAAGTCCCGCAACGTTTTCCAGCCGCAAACCTCGCCAAATCGACCGCCGCTTTTGTTGAGAATCCGCAGCAACGCCGCTACAGCCCGTTGAGACAACTTCTCGTTTAAAACCCATCGACATAGTTCATCCTCAAAGGAGAACGGCGTCGGAGGACTAGGCTCCACATCCTGTCCCGAGCGCGAAGGCCCCTCAGGCATCGCAGCACGTTCATGAGAAGGAGATGGCGGTTCCTCAGAATCTGAGCTATCCTCGCACACGGGCCTATCATCGTCGATTGGAGCTCAAGGACTCATAGTTTCATCGAACGTTTGAGGCAAGAACGGGTCCTCCCGGGCCATTGGGCGAAAAGTGCTCGGAAGACGTGTACCATTCTCATCGTTCCCTGCACCATCGCTGGCGGGTGTGCACGCCGCATTGCTGGCTTGCGCCAGCCTGCATTGATTGCTTCCTACGTGTCTTCGAAGGCCTCCATTACCTACAAAGGGGCCTGAACGGCATTCTTTGCAATAACCTGGGGGTAATTCGTCCATGAATACGCTGCGCCGTTCCTACAACTACGATTAAAAACTGGATCTGTAATGAAATTGGCTCAGCTGTTGTGACTGAATCTGAATGATGTAGCTGCTCTGGCGTCTTTGCTTGCATTAGTTGCAAGGCATTGACATGCAGCAGCATTCACCGAGGGCGCGTCAATTTCATTTCACATTTGCGAAATACCCACCCCGACCACTCTGAAAAACAACGCAACCAATGTATAACGTGTGACATCTCATTCAACCGTTTTCAAACGAACGAAAAAGACCCGCCCCACCCTTCCGAATTCACAATTCGTAAATTTCTGGAAGAATGTGCGCCTCGATTTCGAATGTGTTGAATTTGTGAAAAGAAATTTAACGCGCCCCGATGAAATGTGGTTCATTTTTCGCCTGTCGTAATAGTAGGTATACTGAGGAGCCATAGCTAGGGTTGACCTAGCTAGGCAAGAGAAAGTTTAGGCAAAGAGGAGGTTCACTAGCAGCAATGAGGATACATATAGCAAACCCTAGATGGGTTGTACTCGCTATAGAGCACCCCACTACAGGCTAGAGAATAACATTCTGACACACCCCCATAGCCAAAGTGGGGTGTAATCAGTACAATGAGCAAGCAGGTAGAAAGCAGGTTCACAAGTGCAAGCAAAGCTAGAGGCATTCACAAAGGGCAAGTGAGGAGGAGGAGGAACTGTGGAAGGAGAGAAGATGAGAGGCGACGGCTGAAGCTGCAGACACACGGGCAACAGGAGTCAAACTGGCACAGTGGCTACCGGAACAGCGCCCCGGACTACAGGAGTAACTGGCTCCGCGGCTAAGAAGAGCGGCAGACGAGCAACGGACCCACGGGCGACTGGCGCAGCTGGCTACGACTGGGCTACCGGAACAGCGCCCCGGACTACAGGTGCTGCTGACGACAAGACGGCAGCCTCCGCTCAACCTCCCCCGACCGTCCCACGCCCCTCTCACACACCCCCTGCTGACACCCTAGCTCCACTTCCACGGCACCCCCCTTAAACCCTAAACCTCGGCTCCCACACATCCACCCCCCTCAGCGGCAGCTGCAGCAGTGGGAGACGGAGGAGGAGGAGGAGCAGGGGACGGCGCACACACACGGCACCCCCAGAGCTGCCACCCCCACACTCCGCACCCCAAAACCCTAAAAACGGGCGGAACGGGGGAAGGAGCGCGGGGGACGGCGAGGGGGACGGCGCTCGGCCCCCAGAACGCGACCACGGGGCAGAGAGGGGCCGCGCGCGGCTCCCCAGGGCGGCGCGACGGGAAATCGGGGCCGCGGGGGGGTCGCGCGCGGCTCCCCAGGGCGGCACGACGGGAAATCGGGGCCGCGGGGGGTCGCGCGCGGCTCCCCAGGGCGGCACGACGGGAAATCGGGGCCGCGGGGGGTCGCGCGCGGCTCCCCAGGGCGGCACGACGGGAAATCGGGGCCGCGGGGGGTCGCGCGCGGCTCCCCAGGGCGGCACGACGGGAAAACGGGGCCGCGGGGGGTCGCGTGCGGCTCCCCAGGGCGACGGGATCGCGGGGCCGCGGGCGACGGGACCGGAGGGCCGCGGGCGACGGGATCGGGGGGCCGCGGGCGTCCCCCACGGTAGGAAACCGCCGTGCGCCTCGGTGCGCACGGCGGGGAGAAAACCGCCGCACGCCCCGAGCGCGCGGCGGGATGAAAAATGTGAAGGTCGCGCGCCACGGGGCGCGCGACACTGAGTAGGGCAGCGGAAGCAGCAGTGGGGCCCACAGGCCAGGAGCGTGAACGCTCTGATACCATGTCGTAATAGTAGGTATACTGAGGAGCCATAGCTAGGGTTGACCTAGCTAGGCAAGAGAAAGTTTAGGCAAAGAGGAGGTTCACTAGCAGCAATGAGGATACATATAGCAAACCCTAGATGGGTTGTACTCGCTATAGAGCACCCCACTACAGGCTAGAGAATAACATTCTGACATCGCCCATTTCTCCGATTGGCTAGCGTGGAATCGCGACCAACGAGTCAATTCGAGTCATGTATGTGTGTGACAAATTGAGTCGCGACGAAATTTGAACAAGCGACTTCGCCAGCCCAAAACCGCAACAGACGCGTCGCAAGTCACATTTGGAACGGTCAGGAATGCCAATTCACCTGCCCGCACTTAAAACGTCGTTAAGAGCCACGTCGCGAGCGCACGGTTGCCACAAAAAATATCATAACCAGTACCTTCAGAAATCACTGACGCTCCTGAGTATCGACCCTAAACGGCCATAACAAAAAACGAACCGCGTGGCTATTGGTCAATTTCCCAACGTCTAAAATTGTAACGTTATTCGTAATTTCAGAGCGCATTACACAATACAAGGAAAACGTTAGGAAAGAAAGAAAAACATCATGTTTTCTCATAACGGTATATCTCATATGAAGGTGATCGGTGAACATCGCAACCGTCGAGTCAAAGCAACCACAAACAGATATACATCCGAAGGTAGTTTACGTGCTGCATTCGGATTGAGCCGAAGAGATCTCGCTTGCAAGGTGGGCCGTTGATCCGAGAAGAATGAACGCCAGATGACAAAATTGAAATCACACCCCCCAGGTCATTTACGTGCTCCTCGCAACGATGCCCCAACCAGTGCACCGCGAACCATCTCACGAATCACAAATGTGATCTTGACCGTTGGTCAAATCGCTTGGAATTTCATCCGTCGATCAAGCGCCCGCACATTCCACGAAGCAACCAAACAGATTTTCTCGAACACGCAATTGGCAAAACAGGGTTCATCGGCATCGCATGTCAGAATATTATGCTCTAGCCTGTAGTGGGGTGCTCTATAGCGAGTACAACTCTTCTAGGGTTTGCTATTTGTATCCCCATTCTTGCTAGTGCAAACCCTCCTTTGCTCGTTTCTCTCTTGCCTAGCTAGGGTTTACCTAGCTATGGCTCATGATTCTAGCTCCTATTTTGACATGCTATCAGAGCGGTTACGCTCCTGGCCTGTGGGCCCGCCTGCTTCCGCTGCCTTCCTGTGTGTCGCGCGTCCCGTGGCGCGCGATGTTCGTTTTTTCTTCCCGCCGCGCGCTCGGGGCGCGCGGCGGTTTTCTGCCCGCCGTGCGCCCCGAGGCGCGCGGCGGTTTCCCACCGTCGAAGCGCCCCCCGTCGCCCGTCGAAGCGCTCCCCCCCGTCGCCCGTCGAAGCGCCCCCGTCGCCCGTCGGAGCGCCCCCCGTCGCCCGTCGAAACGCCCCCGTCGCCCGTCGAAGCGCCCCTGGGACCCGCGCGCGGCCCGTACGGGCTGCGCCAGGCCCGCGCGCGGCCCGTACGGGCTGCGCCAGGCCCGCGCGCGGCCCGGGCAGCCCGCGCGCGCCTCGTCCGGCCTGCGGCAGGCCCGTGCGCGCGCCTCGTCCGTCCCCCGAGCTTCTGCCGGCGCCCCACCCCCGCTACTGCCCGCGTTCCTGTGTTAGGGTTTGGGGGTGGAGGGTATGGGGGTGCCGTGAGTGTGAGCCGTCCCCTGCTCCTCCTCCTCCTCCGTCTCCCACTGCTGCA